GTTATGTGTTCAACGTTAATTATATGGCGTTATAATGTTGTTGGGATTTAATGTTTATGTAAGAGTAGGTCATTGTCGGGGGGTTTAATTGTATAAAGGCAGGATGCTGGATTTACATGTCAATGTTGGCATGGTGTTGACAATGACCTTAATTTTACTAGTTAAAACGTATGGGGACAGTGTTTTTATGGGGATTGGTGTTAGGTTTAAGCATATGCCGCAGAGGCGACTATGCACATGTCATGTACTTTCACGCATGTGCAAAAGTACAGCACTGTTGTGTATATAGAATCCAGCATGGGAACCTCCATAGACTCCTCATTTTTGCAAGTTTGACAAATTAGACCCTGCACAAGTTGCCTTTGCCTTATCAGGTCCTCTGTTCAACTGGCCCCTAGTTTATTTAAACAGATTATTAAGTAGTTACTTTAACCATTTTCCATGCTGTTTATTTTCTAAATAATAATGCCCCCATAAGTGCTAAAACAATAAAATAAGCTAAAAATTATCTGCAAGGGACCAGTCAATCATGCTGAAGACAGACGTATTTTATGCAAAGAATTAACATTTGGCTGTCCGGCGTTCCAGGCTGCCAAAGCTACGTGTGCCGGGGGTGTAATTGCCCCAGGCGCAAAAGTACAAATATCACCGTTTGTGCAGAATTTCAAACAGAAACCCTGCAAGTACAGATTTCTACCACCATGACCACTTCTAAAAGCAGAAGTAGTCATGGTGGTTTGAGTAACATTTTAATTGTAAACTCAATTACCTGATCTTACTTTGTCACTGTTTGTTCAAAAGTTGTGATTTGACCATGCTAATTATCTGACCTGCAAATTCCTTCTAAAATTCCATAGCATGTCTGACTGTGTTCTCGCCCACTGTCTTAGTCAGCTGTATAATATTCTGACTATCCTTTATATTTGCAGAATCCAACCAAAATGACAACTAGTTCAAGCCTGATCAAGCTGACCCACATGTAGTGGGTGTGTGGCCATTAGCAAATTCCACATGGCTACCATACTTTTTACTCCTCTTCCTATAAATTAACACATCTGTTAAAGCGAACACTTATTATCACATCCATACTAGGTTCTGCTAAGAAGATTATGTCAATGTTGGACTGCCGCCATTTAAACCAACTCTTACACAGATGTAATAACGGGATACGTAAACCATGCTAAGGGTAAATGAGTTTGAATAATTTTAGGCATCACTATAAGACAAAAAATATGAGAACGATGTAAAACGTCTAATAGGGCAAATAATATTTAGATTGCTATTGTCTGTGACTAATTATAGATATTATTACATCTTTAACTGGAAACCACTGCAACCCAGACTATTTAATTATCAACAGCTAATGATTTAAGAACTTATATTTAAGCATTCAAATTCAGGGCATGCCACATCTACTTACAGGAAATAAAAGTAAAACACCGTGTCCCAATGAATCAGTAAATTAGCAAGATATTAAAGCTAAGGTTGTCATATGGTTGTTTAATGCTCTTTGGTAATCATGTGTCTCCTCTCTGTCCCTCTTTGTGCATTAATTTTTTTTTTGTCTGAAATATTCATTACACCTATAATTAGCCACTTTTTTGGAGACTGTAATTAAAACAAAATTATTACACCTTAATAAGCAGTTTTATACTAATGATGCAACTGATATCCATCCAGAACGAGATGGGCAACGTAACCATGTCAACAAAAAGCAAGTGAAAATTGTTTGACTTCGTTAAAAAAAAAGAAAAAAAAAAGATTTAATTTCACTTCTAGAGTTCAGCGGACACCTGGATATTAGGGTTTGCAGAGTTTGGCTGAACTTCGTCAAAAAGTTCGAGTTCGGGCTCGAACTTGACCCGAACTTGACCCCGAACCCGAACCCCATTGAAGTCAATGGGGACCAGAACGTTTGGGCACTAAAATGCCTCTAATAAAGCCCTGGAAAGGACTAGAGGGCTGCAAAAGGAAGTAAAATGGGGGTAAGAGTAGGGCAAGTGCCCTGCAAACAAATGTGGATAGAGAAATAACTTAAAATAATATAAAATACATAAAAATTAAAAATAATAATCTTGAACTAGGAGGAGGAGGTGGAGTAGGAGGTTGAGGAGGCAGTGACCATGGCGGTGTATGTGGAAGTGGTGGTGGAGGAGGAGGAGGCAGCCAACACTGGTTTTTTTTTTATTTTTTTTTTATTGGGGTAGCCCCCAAAATATTGGGACATATAAAAAAAAGAAACATTTGCGGCCTGCAGTGCATTTCTTGCAGTCCAATAGCGCCATGAGGTTTTTAAAACTGTCCGTCTCCACCAGACGGAATGACAGCATTTCAAAGACCAGGAATTTTGAAATGCTGGCATTCAGGGCCAGGGATCGCGGGTGGCTAGGGGGTACTTCCTCTTTCTCTCCAGTGTTTGGTAGATGGACAGCTGAACGCTTCCATGGGACAGTGTGGAGATGCTTGGGGACAGTGGCGGACGTGGTGGCGTTGCTGCCACATCCTCTGGTGGAGGAAGAGGCTGAGACAGCAGCAGAAGAGGAAGCAGGAGGAGCCTGAGACCTTTCTTGGTTTTTGAGGTGCTTACTCCACTGCAGCTAGTGCTTTGCATGTAGATGCCTGGTCATTTATGCCTCACTTCAGGCCAGGGCCAGACTGGGAATTAAAAGCAGCGCTGGAAAAAAAATATTTACCAGCCCCATAATGCGTCGCGCCAGCATAGTGTGCAGATACAGAGTTAGAAAAGAGAACTTCAAATTAAAAATTATTACTCCAATGTAAAAAAAGCACTCATAGGCTTCAAAATAAACAAAAGTGCCGATTTATTTTAAGCAGACGTGCCCTTGCATGTAATCAATGTTTCAGTCCAACTACCTTGACATATTAAGGAAAGCTTGGTAATGGGACTGAAATGGTGAATGTATGTAGGGCATAACTGTAAAAAAATTTACGTTATCTTGTTTATTTTGAAGTCCTGTGGGTGCGCTCTTCACTTTAAATATGTTATTGTGGTGGAGTCTGCATCTAGCAGTCCAATATCTGCTCATTACATATGGTACATATTAATTACATTTATCTGTGTATTATGCATATATAAATGTACATTAATATGTGTAAATATAATAGGCATACATATATATATATATATAACGAATACACATTAATATACATGTCATATACCAGTGGTGGATCAAGAGCCTATCCCGGGAGGGGCACTTGTAGGTTATTTTAAAGAAATAATCCATGCACAATAACCACTACTGCTCTGTGTAGTGGTTATGGTGCAAGGAGTGCTGGGACCCCCTCCCAGAGTAAGTAGTCAAACCGTTTAAGAACAGTTTGACAACTTACCTGGGGTCTGCTGGGATAGGGGGCTGTAGTAGGGTATAGGAGCAGTGGTGCAATGTGTGAGGGGTGCAGTGTGTGTGAAAGGTTCAGTGAATGTGTGTGTGGGGGGCTGTAGTGTGTGAATGTGTAGGGAGTGTGGGGCAATGTGTGTATGGGGGGCTGTGTATGTGTGTGTGTGCAGCAATGTGTGTGTGGGGGGGCTGTGTATGTGTGTGTGTACAGCGATGTGTGTGTGGGGGGCTGTGTATGTCTCTTTCTCCCCCTGTGTCTCACTCTTCCCCCTCTGTCTCTTTCTCCCTCTTTTCCCTGTGTCTATTCCCCCTCTGTTTTATTTTCCCCCTCCCCTTGTGTCTCTTTATTCCCCGTCTTCCCCCTCCCATTTACCTGAGAGGAGTCAGGGGGGCCGGCCGCATTCCACGCTGGAGCTGCCGGGCCGGGTGGCAGCCTCGCCGGTCTGGCGGCACTCCTGTCACTAATGCCCCTCAGAGTGTGTGCTACCGGACCGGCCACCCGGTGGCACATACATGCTCAGCGCAGCCCCCATATGCCGCGGCCCACCGGGAAATGTCCCGGTATCCCGGTGGGCCAGTCCGGTCCTGCTTCAGGCTCTGATTGCACAGCGTGCAAACCACTAGTGTCTTGTCGTCAGCACATTGTCTGAAGAACTGCCACGCCAGGGAACTCCTTGGAGCTGGCTTTGGTGTGCACGATCCCTGGGTGCGGTGGGCAGTAGCAGGCATAATGTCTAGGGGACGGCCGCTCCACTTTTGCACCCTGCTCTAGGAGGAGGAGGTGCATGTGGAGTAGGAGGTTGAGGAGGCGGTGACCGTGGCGGTGTAGGTGGTAGCGGTGGTGGAGGAGGTAGCCAACACTGTTTATTTGTTTTTGTTTTTTTTAAATTGGGGTAGCCCCACAAATATAGGGACATATAAAAAAAGAAAAACAAAGAATAAATGCACTTGAGTAAAACAATGGCTGGGTGAGGCAGGTATAAATGTCTATTCTGCACAAGGTACAGACAAGCCTGGTGGGATCCGTGCCTGGTTCATTTTAATAAATGTGAGCTTGTCCAAGTTGGCTGTGGACAGGCGGCTGCGCTTGTCTGTGATAACGCCCCCTGCTGTGCTAAACACACGTTCAGATAATACACTGGCTGCAAGTCAGGCCAACACCTCCAAGGCATAAAGGGAAAGCTCAGGCCATGTGCCCAATTTGGAGATCCAGAAGTTGAATGGGGCAGACCCATCAGTCAGTACGTGTAGGCGTGTGCACACATACTGTTCCACCATGTTGCTGAAATGCTGCCTCCTGCTAAGACGTTCCATATCAGATGGTGGTGCTGGTTGTTGTGGCGTGCTGACAAAGCTTTTCCACATTTCGGCCATGCTAACCCTGCCTTCTGAGGTGCTGGCAGTGCCCCAGCTGCCTTGGCGACCTCTTCCTCCTCCTCTGCCTTCGCCTTGTGCTTCCACTGAGCCCCCGGTGTCAGTTGGGAATGCTCTCAGAAGCGCATCTACCAGCATGCGCTTGTAGTCATGCATCTTCCAATCACACTCCAGTGAGGGAATTAAGTATGGCATGTTGTCCTTGTAACGGGGATCCAGCAGGGTGGCCACCCAGTAATCAGCACAAGTTAGAATGTGGGCAACTCGGCAGTCATTGCGCAGGCACTTTGGTGACTCTAGATAACCTCTGGCCGATCGCACAGTCGGATGTCTGCCCTATCAAATTTCGATGTTACTTTCTGTGCCTACCATGGTAACAGGGAATCAGGGTTCGATTCCGGAGAGGAAGCCTGAGAAACGGCTAGCACATTCAAGGAAGGCAGCAAGCCCGCAAATTACTGACTCCCGACTCGGGGAGTTAGTGACGAAAAATAACATTACAGGACTCTTTCGAGGCCGTGTAATTGGAATGAGTACACTTTAAATCCTTTAACGAGGATCTATTGGAGGGCAAGTGTGGTGCAGAGCGACTGACCCGTGCGTGCTGCAGCTGAAATTCCACTATAGCCTGCTGCTGCTCTCACAGTCTCTCCAGCATGTGCAAGGTGGAGTTCCACCTTGTGGGCACGTCGCATATGAGGCGGTGAGTGGGAAGGCCGAAGTTATGCTGCAGCGCAGACAGGCAAGCAGCAGCAGGGTGAGAACACTGAAAGCGCGCACAGCCGTTACAGCGAAACTGCGAATGGCTCATTAAATCAGTAATGGTTTCTTTGATCGCTCCATCTTTTACTTGGATAACTGTGGTAATTCTAGAGCTAATACATGCCGACAAATGCTAGGGGATGGCTGCTCCGCTTTTGCACCCTGCTCCCTCTTATGCTGTGCTGGTGCCTCTGTGCGACCACCGCCTCTTCCTCCAAACTGCACACGTCACTCGCATGACCTTGATTCCATGTGGGGTCTAGGACCTCATCATCCTCCACATCATCTTCCACCCACTCCTCAACCCTGCCCTCCGTGCCGGTCTGCACACTGCAGAAAGCCACAGCAGTTGGCACCTGTGTTTTTCCAGCATGTAAAGTTCACTACGAATAACTTACTGAAATGGCAAACACTATAATTGGTACAGCCTGTAGATTAGTGTTAAAGATTATGGTCCCAGGTGTGTCCTGGAGCCCTCCCAGTGTAAGTAGTCAGCTTGCAATTTGACAATTTACCTGGGTTCCACTGGGTGTTGGTAGCACCTTCCTGTGTTGGCAGGTCCTGAACAGGAGCCTCAGGCACCTGGGGGCCGGCTGGTAACTTTGTCCCATGGAAAATTGTCAAGCTGGAGTGGTAATGCTGCGTGGAGTGTTAAAGATTCAAAGTGCAAGTAATCTAAATATTTCATATACAGTATAATGGCAACCTATGTAAAACTTGTGCGGTATAACTGTGGCCAACTGAACATCCAGAATGGCAAACATGCTTCAGAGTTGGGTTTTTCATTTTTTAAGCTTGTTTTTTTTATATTTATACACTTTTTAAATATTTTTTTATTCACATGTTTAAAATCACTGAAAAATTTTAATTGTAAAGTCTGCAAAGGACATATGGAAATTGTCGTTACTAGAGTTGAGCGAACCCGAACTCAAAAGTTCGAGTTCGTACCGAACATTAGGTTTTTTGGACCCCGGACCCGAACAAGGACATATCACTGTATGTTCGGGTTGGAGTTCGGTGTTCGGCGATATAATGGCGCATTTTCAAAGGCTGCAGGGAAGCCAATCAACAAGCGTTTGACTCGTGTGCCCTTAGAAGCTATCACAGCCATGCCTACTAATAGCATGGCTGTGATTCGCCAGTGCAGCATATGACCCAGCCTCTATATATAAGCTGGAGTCGCTTAGCGCCGAACGCACATGAGGTTTTATTAGTGTAGGGAGAGGATGCTGCCGCTGATAGGGAAAATAAACAGCACGAAAAATGTTTAATAGGGACAGCTTAGGAAAGAATTCTGCAAACTAGTACATTGGTGGGGTGGGGTGCACTTCATATCGGAGAGTCAAATAGAAGCTTCAAATACCGCGGTTACATCTGAGTTTTTTGGTGCGAAATAGTACATTAGTGGGGTAGTACATTAGTGGGGTGCACTTCATATCTGAGAGTCAAATAGAAGTGTCTAATAGTGCGCTTACTGCACAGTGGTAAACATTCTAATTGTTTTGCTGCTCAACTGCTAAATAGTACATTTTAGGGCCTGTTCTTCATATTTGAGAGTCAAATCGAAGCATCTAATACTGCGCTTACTGTGCACTTGTAAACATTCTAATTGTTTTGCTGCTAATCTGCTAAATAGTTAATTTTGGGGCCTGTTCTTCATATCTGAGAGTCAAATAGAAGCGTCAAATAGTGCGCTTACTGCGCACTTGTAAACATTCTAATTGTTTTGCTGCTAATCTGCTAAATAGTACATTTTGGGGCCTGTTCTTCATATGTGAGAGTCAAATCGAAGCGTCTAATAGTGTGCTTACTGCGCACTTGTAAACATTCTAGTTGTTTTGCTGCTAATCTGCTAAATGGCCTGTTCTTCATATGTGAGAGTCAAATCGAAGCGTCTAATAGTGTGCTTTCTGCGCACTTGTAAACATGACTGCTGACCCCAAATACCAAAACCGTTACCCCCAATAACGACATGACACCTGATTGTTGGGTAAGGGCAACGGCCACAGCTTTATTAAACTTTTACACAGCCAGCATTTCCACTGGTCAGCTGTTGGGGTGACTACCCAACAGACAGATACTCCAAGTCTTTATCCTGAGTTCGTACAGCCTGTCTTCGGCCATCAGCCTTAGCAGGCTGCGGCTCCCCAAATCCTTTCCGTGCATTACGTGCGCTGGCCAGGAACTCCGCCATAGCTGTGACAAAACAAGAACAGAAACAAACAACACCACAAGCCAAACCATCCCATAGCATGGGAAATTTTTTGGGGAGGGCGGGCGGGAAACTGTTCCAGACTGCTCCTTCTGCACTGGTGAGTCCCACCCCCCTGCTCTCCCTCTTATATCCCACTATATAGGCAACATTGTATCTTTTATATTCCCACCCCTTACTGCAGGGCAGCAGTCATGCCTCCCCTTCCTTGCAGTCCAGGGGATATCTTGACTGCTGACCACCAAATACCAAAACCGTTACCCCCAATAACGACATGACACCTGATTGTTGGGTAAGGGCAACGGCCACAGCTTTATTAAACTTTTACACAGCCAGCATTTCCACCTGTCAGCTGATGGGGTGACTACCCAACAGACAGATACTCCAAGTCTTTATCCAGAGTTCGTACAGCCTGTCTTCGGCCATCAGCCTTAGCAGGCTGCGACTCCCCAAATCCTTTCCGTGCATTACGTGCGCTGGCCAGGAACTCCGCCACCGCGATGCCGGCCCTCCCTCTCTTTACCCGGCATCGCGCCCCCCGCAGCCAGCGCCTTTTCTATACCCGACTGGAGACCCACATTAAAAATGTCCAATCCTATTTGGTTCAGGTGCACTCCGTCCGCCCTCATCAAATTCCGATAGTCCCCCTCCAGCACCACATGCCAAACCGCCACACCACCAAGCCGCCGCACAAACCGAGAGATCGTCATGTTGAGCTTGCGCCTGCTCCAGGCCCTTGGCATGCGGCAAGACCTGCCAGTCAGGACGGGGAACAACCTCCGACCAAATCAGAGTACAGTCTGAGAATAGTGCCAAACACCGGGCCAAGTCGTGCTTGACAGAGTGCATCAGATCCACCGATCTAACCCTCCCTAAATCATTACCTCCCGCATGGATCACAATTGTAACAGCCCCCGACACGAACCTGCTCAGGGCCACGCACTCCGGATAGACTTGCCTCCAGGACAGACCCCGAACACCCCTCTAGCGTACCCTTGCTATGTCCATGGAGATCCCTAGGTTCCGTCCATAGGAGCGAGACTGAGCCCGTCGAGCTGCCCAATATATAAACGAATGCCCCAAGATCCATACGTAACGGGGGACGCAACCTGAAACAAATTATAACAAATGTGGTCGAACATACAGCTGAAACCGCTAGAAGACCATCTGCCTAATCGCTGCACCACCGAACCTGCCAAACCCATACCGCTAGCCTGAGTAGCGGCCCCGATCCTGTAAGGAATGAGGCGAGAACCCGGATGGATCTTGACCGCAGTCCACCAGAGCTCTACCCAACACTGACGCGAACTGAAAACGCATAAGCGGGGACCCATCCGCATGCACCAACAACGAGGCCGCCGCCGGCCGACTCGCCATATACTGTTGGAAGAGCCGGACGAGACAATACTACCATAGCTCCCCACCCTGAGCCACACACCAGCACCAGCTTGATCTGTCTTGGATCTGCGGATATGCAGGTCCACAAACCCATCCGCCCAACGCACATCTGACAGCAGGAGTGGAGAAACCGAACGGCGATTGGGGGTGACAAGCTCCCCCACCCGCAATGCCCCAAAGAAACACAGCGCAAAACTAACCTGAAACAACCGACTCTCTGATACCGAGACACAGACCCCCGGCAACGCCCCATCAACTGCCACAACAGCTCCACTGAAATCGGACGCCGCCGGTCCGGACGCCTCCGGTTCCTCCAACCGCGCAGAACCCGCTGCAGGCAAAACTCCTTCGTTATGTCCCGCCAGCCTAGAAACCGAAACAAAAACGACAAAGCCGACAGCGCTCTCTCCGCCGATGCGCATGATTGACCTTGCTCCAGGATCCTACTCATATAGCGTAATGTCACTGTGAACCGGGCAGACCCCGATGACATACGATCAGACCCCTCCACACACGACAGCCAACCTACCCATACCGACCTGTATGCCTTCCACTTAGCCGCCGACAACGATTCCGACACCAAGGACATCAGCCCTTCGAAACCAGGTCCCATAAGTATGCCGGGCAGCGAAGACCCTCCTGATCTGCTTCCGGGGCCGACTCCCGAAAACGGTCCCACTGAAACCGAGAAAGAGAGTCAGCCACCACATTCAAAACCCCTGGAACATGCCGAGCCTGCAACCACACATTAAACTGTAAGCTCAGCAGCACTAGGTGACACAAGAGAGCCAGCACTGGAGGAGATGCAGACGATGATCGGTTAATCACATGGACCACACTCATGTTATCCGTGTGAAAAACCACCACCCGGTTCCGCAATTCGTCCCCCCACAGTGCTAGCGCCACCACTATGGGGAACAGCTCCAAGAACGTAAGGTTCTGCATCAACTCCAGCTCACGCCATGCCACCGGCCAAGCAGCAGCACACCACTTGCCCTGAAAGTAAGCCCCAAACCCTACCGATCCCGATGCATCCGTATACAGTTCGAGTTCGGCATTGATCGGCCGTTATACCTACCCAGGAAGACGCTCCATACCTGCAAGTCAGCCCTAA